GTTGTTTAAATTGTAGTTGTTGTTTTGCATACTTAGTGTTCTGTTGTTTTCATTCGAAAATAATACTGATCTCATTAATTTATTTGTTGTTTTGTTTTGTTTGTTAACTTTAGAAAATTGATATGGTCTTTAATTGGTGATAATTGATTTATTAATAGGATGACTGAATTGATTTAGTTTGCTAATTTTATAGTGATAATTGATTTATTAATAGGATGATTGAATATATTTTAAAATAATTGAATAGCACAAACATTAGAAAAGTGAAAACATAAATATTATTCATAGAAAATATTGTAAATGCAAGAAGAATACTGAAATCTGCCAATTCTAGTTGTTTTTAATAACAGATTTATTGCAAACATATCTTAAACCACTCATCAAATAAATGTCTTCATTCAACCTTCAAAATTCTTCAATTTTATCTTCTTCTTCCTTGTTGGCTCTTCTGAACAGCTTGAGCCTTCTCCATTCATTCCAGCTTGCTCTCTCTTCTTTATCTTTTCTTTCCAGCCATGACCAGCCCTTATTGAGCTGTAAACTTCAGCATTTACAGCCCTGTTTGGGCTGTACAGTTCAGTCTTTACAGCCCTTATTGAGCTGTACACTTCAGTCTTTACAGCCCTTATTGGGCTGTACAATTCATCATCTACAGGCCTTATTGGGCTGTTCACTTCAGCCTCTACAGCGCTTGTTGGGCTGTTCACTTCAGCCTTTACAGCCCTGATTGGGCTGTATACTTCACCATTTGATTCCTTCACAATTATAAAAAAAAATTAAGATTTTATATAAAAAAAATAATATATAGTGTGTTGCTGAAAATATTAAAAAATATAAAAATAACCATTTCACTGTTGGCAATTGCACCAAATCGGTTGACCAAAACAGGATCGGCTGTTATTCGAGAAACCGTAAATGGACCATTGCATGATCCAAAACGATCCTTTTTCTTTGAAACCTTAAACAGTAGAACTTTGTCCTTCAAAATCTCAAGTTCAAATGGCAGCTCCGATCCGTCAAATTGCTGCAGCATAATATTTGTATTAAATTATAATTGATGCTAATATAAGCATAAAAAATGAGGAAAACTTAATATTAAAAATACACATGCCTTAAGCATTTCACTAACAACATCATCACATGGTTTTCTAACCAATTCTCTAGCAACTTTGTCCCAGCACAAAAGAGGCACTATTCCGGTGTGGTCCCCAACCGAAATATGTAGCTTGTACCTTTGAATATGAAAGGAATAAAAGTTATAAAAAAAATTAAATGATTAATTAAAAAATTTAAAACAAATGTACCTAAGATTTGCAAAGGGCATGGAGTCTTGGCAATGGTTGCACCAAAATTTATCTTCTTTGCTGTCGACTTTTCGAACGCAGTTTGGGCAAGAATTGAAATACCAATTTCCTGAAATATCAACAATGGCGCCATAAATCCAAAAATTTGTATGCTAAAATGACACATTAAAAACAACTCCATAAATTTCAGCAAATAATTAATACGAAAAAAGATATTTAATAAATTGTAAAATATTAAATTAAATTTGGTACCTCTTCGTCCGCATAAAAGTCCGCAACACATTTGATAGGAGCATCTCCGGATGCCAAATCATCACATATGTTAGACATGAATGACCTAACATATTTGATTGAAATTTTACTTGGCCTTGGGTGGGAGTTGTACCTAATATTAAAAAATACGTATATATATTTCAAATTAGAATGTGACATAATAACAAATATTAATTTAAAAAACATGACAAATACCTTTGTTTGAAATCAACTATCTCGGGAACATCACTTGAGAATATCATCTTTGTGGCATCATAAATATTGGAAACTTTTATGGATCCTAAAAAAAATGAATAATTAGGGACAATATTCAAAATTCTAAGTTAAATATAAGAGAAGAAATAATTCTTAGAAATTAAGTTAACAAAAATACCATCGTCAAATGACTTCGCTCGACAAAACTGTAATATGACTACACGCAAATCACTCGGAGACGGTTTGTTGTAGGCATCTAAAAGGATTTCGGCATATCGGTCCCATAGGGTACGAATCAGTTGGCAGCCCCTATAGGAAGACAGAAAACAACATTTTAATATAATAATATATGCATATTAACCTTTAATTAAAGAATAAAAATCCATGAAGAATAACTTAATCGACGTCCTCAAGAACGATGTCAATAAATTTCTTAACTTCTCCTCTCGAAGTTGTTGTACGAATGCTTTGAAAAAAAACAATGCGCCCAATAATGTCTACGAAATAAAAATTTAATTTATATTTCAAGTATATGATTAACAAAATTATAAAATGTCAAAAAATAAAAGAATTACCAAAAACAGAAGTAGAATCGTGTTTCGGGGTCCGACAGGTAGTTGAATTTCTTGCAGTTAAACATAAAGATTGGATACTTGACATCGTCCATCTCGCACATGGATGTTTGTTCGTTGAAAGTGAACTTGTGACTTGATTTGGTTACCTTGAATGCACTTTTGTCTTGCTGAAGTTCGAAGTTTGTTATCTTATACACTCGACCTTCAATAAGATCAAAATCCTGCACCTTTTCGGGGGCCCAGCCGTGAACACGCTGCCCCTAAAAAAATAGAAAATAAAATATTTAATACAATAGAAAAATTCTGTAAAAATTCACCAATTTTTGGAATAGTAAACAAAAAATTTCCAGACCTTGATATCATGGAAAATGAACTCGTGTCCGCTGATTCTTGATATATTTGACTGATAATAGCGAGGGTATTTTCGGACCAACCTAAGAATGGCAGCCTTGTTCTTGTTTTTAGCCAAAAATGTCAAATTGTCAAAGGTTGCCATTGCTTAGTTAGAAAAAATTTGGGCTAAAAGATTATTTGCTTGTGTTGGATTTGGAAGAAGTGTGTTGAAATTGTGTGAATATGTGGGTATATATAAGGTTTGCAAAGCTGAATAATAATTAGGTACACATTAATGTGATTGCATAATTTCTGTAATTTGGTTTGACATTTTATATTTATTGGCACATTTATTTTTCTAAACTCATGGGATTTTGACATTTTGCTTTTTTAAATATTTTTGTTATATTTTTGAATATTCTGAATTTTGTTTCTGCCGCCCAATTGTTTTAAGCAATTTTTGATTTCTATTACTGAAATTTAAGATTATTACATTTTCCAAATTAATCCATGTAAATAAATGCTGATTAGTTGAAATAATGGGATATTGTAAATATTCCATGATTTTATTTTGTTAGTTTTAAATTCTGATTAAAGTATAAGATATTATAAAAATGTTTAGCTGATTTTTTATGTCTTTATTTTTTTGCAGATCTAATTGAAGACTAAGGCGTAGACATTTAATTTTTTTTTTTTGTAAATAATTGTATGTCTTGTAATTAATCAGTTTTTGCATCTCTTAATATTTGTTGATTTATGGAGAAAATTAGAAAAAATATATAAAATGATAATACAAAAAAAATTAGTAGTCAATCATTATTTATGTTCTTATGTAAATTAAGTAATTATTTAAAATAATCAAGTTTTTTTGAGAAAGCTAATTAATATCATAAAGTGGGTAATCAAATTATTGTAACTGAAAAGGCTAAATAAATGATTGCAATCAGAAAAGGCATTGTGTATGTGATTTTATAAAAGGAAAAATAATTTATATATTTAATACCAGTGTAACGTTTTTGGGCGGGAAAATGGTGAAAATGCCACCTAGGTTTTATTAATTATTTTATTAAATGCAATAGCCAGCAATTATATATATATAGATTAATATTGCTCAATGTTGTTGTTTGGACCTTAAATATATAGGTATTGTGAATCTCGATTTTTGCACTGGATCAGTTATTAATGAAAGACAGATAACGATTTTATCAGGAATTTCATGCAATGCTTCAAATCATATGCCCTTCAATGATATTACAAATGGTATTTCAATTATATCTTGGTTTATATATCTCATTATGTATATTTTGATATTTTATTGGGTACATAAATAAGGGGGTTGTATTTAGTAATAAGGGGGCAGTATTTAGTAATTCGGAATGAAATATCCCTTTCTTGTGCGTGAGGGTTGTCCGGACATTTTTTTCTGATTTTTTCGGAGGTCGAGGGGCCGGTGAAACCGAGAGTGTAGAGAGAGATTATAGAGAGATGAGAGATTTTTTTTTAAGTGATGATGGCAAAATTGTCTTTAAGGGGCGGCAAGTAGTAATAGGAAGCGATGTTTAGTAATTCACATTTATATACAGTCATCAATTACGCAATCACCATCAAGATTCCAATAATAATAAACCAAGCAACTGAAATTATTATTTTTTTTTTTTTACAAAAAATAGGCAAAATTGCATATAATATCACGACCTTTATCGAGATTGCAAAATAATGACGTCCTTTTAACATTTTGCATACGATATCACAACCTTCAATTCTTTGCAAGACGGTACATACTTTTCGTCTGCTGCCACCTCACATGCTGATGTGTATTTATCAGACTTTTTTTCCATCTCATCACTGGAACGACGTCGTTTTGTCGGACGTGTTTAAGTTGGGTTTTTTTTTCCACGTCATCCCCAAACGACGTCGTTTTTGTTTTACCTGTCGATTTAAATAGGAAAAATTGGAATCAATTTTCATTGTGAAACCCTAAAATAATCTCAGTTCCCCGATTCTCTCTGCACTCTGAATATAAAATCTCATCGAATCTCTATTGTATTGTAAATAAATCTCGTTGTGGTCCGCCGACAACTTCATGCTGCGAAAATGGCAAACAAGTAGGATCACAATTATTTATTTGTCTTCTGTTGTCGCTAACTTAGGTCAATTGTTGTGGAAAATTA